CTCAGCCTCCCAAAGTGCTGGGATTACAGGCGTGAGCCACCAAGCCCAGCCATGACCCTACTTTTCATCAATACCATCGCCCACCCTCCCACACCATGAAGATGTTTGACGTATCCAAGAGCAGCGTCCTATCAAATTCCAGGTGTTTATAGAAAGACAGAAGTGTCAGAGGCAGCCTCCCACTTTGGGTAAAACTAAGTTCCTTGTATCAGATCACAACAACGTAAGTGACCTCATCAAAATAAATAGCAGGTGCTTACACTTCAATACCAATCAAGCCTTCTTTCTCTTGATAAACCAACATAGCTTGGTGAATGTCTCCGCCCTAATCTGATCCCTGGAGTATTTGAAAGTGAGAATGATGAAGGTGGATTCCTGTAGATGGCAAATACCTCTTAGGAGATACTTGGTATAAAATCATCAGTATAAGGCTAAAAAAAAAATGCATTTGTTTTAGAATTTTAAAAATCCTTATCAAGGAAACAAAGGTGTATTACCAATCGAGATTGATTACTCCATCCAATCACACAGAGATCATCAAAACAGTAGTAGTATTCTCACCTAGGAGTTTTAGGAAGTTGTTTTGACATTTCCAGCAGAAAAAAATGTGTTGCAAATGAAGACATTCAGCTTTGGAAAACTATATTATTTAACCTACATTATCTTCTTTTCAAATTGTAGATGTTAAAAAAAAATCTTTTGCATTCTAAATTGCCCATAAAATAGACTTCTAAAGCTGACCACAGTGGTTCACATCTGTAATCCCAGCACTTTGGGAGGCCAAGGTGGAAGGATTGCTTAAGGCCAGGAATTGGAGGCCAGTCTGTGTAACACAGTGATACCTCATCTGTGAAAAAAAAAATTTAATTAGCTAGGCGTGGTGCCACGTTCCTGTAGTCCCAGCCATACAGAAGGCTGAGAAAGGAGGATCACTTGAGCCCAGGAGTTTGAGGCTTCAGTGAGCTAGGATCCTGACACTGCACTCCAGCGTGAGTGACAGAATAAGATCCTGTCTTGAAACACACATACACACAAAAACAGACCTCAAGTTATTTTGATGCTCTTTTTTTTCCCCCAAAAGAAACTTGCAATTTGAGTAGGAACTTAAAGGCATTCAGAGAGACACTGTCTTCTTTTTAGGCTCACAGAACTGACTAGATTTTTATAAAAGGATTTCTGTTCAACTACAGAAATCTCCCTAAGAGGATATTTAAGCATAAGTTGTCAAACATGACCCGCCCCTACCCCCAAAATGCATTTGCCATAATAGCACAAAGGAAGGTCAATGGAGATATATAAGAAAACAATTCTGGAGGGAAACTGCTATTCCAGTTTCCTGATTCCTAACAGAGGTATACCAAAAGTCAATGTTCTTGCAAAGTTAAGTTCTTTTTTGTTTGTTTGTTTGTTTGAGGCAGAGTCTCGCTCTGTTGCCCAGGCTGGAGTGCAGTGGCGAGATCTCAGCTCACTGCAACCTCCACCTCCCAGGCTCAAGCAATGCTCTTACCTCAGCCTCCCGAGGAGATGGGATCACAGGCACACGCCACCACACACAGCTAATTTTTAAAAAAATATTTTTAGTAGGGAAGGGGTTTCACAATGTTGGCCAGGCTGGTCTCCAACTCCTGACCTCAGGTGATCCACCCGCCTCAGCCTCCCAAATTGCTGGAAAAAGTTAGAAGTTCAGACGAGTCTCGCTCTGTCACCCAGGCCAGAGTGCAATAGTATAATCTCGGCTCACTGAAACCTCTGCCTCCTGGGTTCAAGCGATTCTCCTCCCTCAACCTCCTGAGTAGCTGGAATTACAGACGCATGCCTCCATGCCCGGCTAGTTTTTGTATTTTTAGTAGAGATGGGGTTTCACTATATTGGTCAGGCTGGTCTTGAACTCCTGACCTCGTGATCCGCCCAGCTCGGCCTCCCAAAGTGCTGGGATTACAGGCGTGAGCCACTGTGCCCGGCCAAGTTAAGAAGTTCTTAATGTTGGTTTGTTCTCTAGACAGTTATACGCAGAAAACACCACTGCTTAATAGGAACCTGGTTGTTTAACTCTTGGCATTCATATTTAAAATTATCATAGAAGAGAGTCAAAGCACCAAATAAGAGGCTGGCTCACATCAGTTATTCTCACATTATGCTACCATGGAAGCTGCACCAACGTATCTGTTTTACCATGCAAATGTAATTGCATAAACGTCTACTAAATGGTGAACAAAATGTGGCATAGCCATGGCATGGAATAAACCCTAGTCAAGCAATAAAAAGGAACCAACTACAGATACATGTGACAACCTGAATAAATCTCAACAACTATTCTAACTGAAAAAAGCCAGATGCTAAAGACTATATATTGTACGATTTCATCTGTATGAAATGTCCAGAAAAGGCAGATCTAAACAGACACAATAGACTAGGGGTTGTCTGGGGCTGGGGTAAGAATGGTGAGTGATTGCAAACAGGTCCCAGGGATGTTTGGGGAATGATGAAATGATATAAAATTGTATTGTGCTAATGGTTGCACCATTCAATAAATTTACCAAAAATCATTGAAACACTTAGATATATTTGATGGTACGTAAATTATATCTCCAATAAAGCTGTTAAAAAAAAAAAAAAAAAAGAAGGAAAAGTAAGAATAACTTGAATAAAGATGCTGTTTTCCTCCAGGGGGAAAATCTAGTTATAGTCATATTTTTCTAATTTATAGCAAAAAAATAATTTAATGGATAGATTTTTTTTCCGTTTTAAATTTTTTGTTTATTAATTTTTGTCTCTAGATTATTGTCATCCATATTACAAGTTTAGTTTTTATTTAATTTGCATGAAATTGATACTTAGCTATTTTAAGTTAATATTTCATAGCATTAAGCCTGAAACACATGATTCCTAAGTTCTTCCCCAACCTAAACAAAAGAGAAAACCACTGACCAGAATAACACACAAGCTCCTCTATCATTTTTAGATTTGACTGTTTACATCAATTTAAGGAAATATGTGATTTGAAACTAATCTGGTTTCAGTCACGGTCGAAATTGAATGGATCATTGTGGTCTGTAAATCTATGGCCTTGACTTGGGGTGGCCTGGAGGACTCCAATGTAGTCAATTCCAGGAGGACAGAACTGTGTCTTATTTACACAGGGCTGTGTTTGGCCCAGACCTTCTTCCCCTCCCATCTGGTTCTCTCACACAGAACACAGTGCCCTCAATAAATATTGTTTTAGTGATTACATGAATAGGCCCACAAATTTACAGATGCACCAAATAGTTTCTAAAACTGAATGTACACACACACACACACACAATCTCTCTCTCTCTCTCGTTTTCCAAACCCACATAAATGGCTGTTTTTGTGCTTAGTAAATGACATTCATTTAAACATGTTAGTAAATTCATGGTAAAATTTTGCCATTATGAAATATTTTCAGTCAATAAATAGCCATATAATTTTGATGTAAATATCTCAGTTCAAAAGATGAGAAACTACTACTTTAAAAGACTTTTACATTCCCACCAAAATCTTCAGTTATTTCCCTTTTCAGTCATTATTCCAAGCAAACATACACCTCATTTTTCAGCTTTGTCTAAATCTAGCTTAACATTTTTTAGCTTTGGCCAAAATTTGGATTACAACTCACCTTCAGCGTTGAGCACACTGTAAACAAATAAGCTAACAAATAACATGCCTATCCGTAATTCACAAAATAGCATCAGTATTAATTTCAAAAGTCTCTAGTTAGGACAAGGGATCAATTTATTTTGTAAATAACAAGAGGTAAGAACCTTCTTATGACGTTGGCCTTGTGACGTCAGCCCGGGTCCCAGGAAGTATAGTTGTTTTCATTCTTTCTGTAAACATTTAAGGAACCACACGGGGACACTCCCTGCCTTGGGCAGAAATTCCTCTGTGTCAAGGGCCTTCACTCAAACTGGGAGCGCGGTGGAGAAGGGAGTGGGCAGCAGGGGAAAAGCGTAACAACAGCACCAATTGTGTCTGCCAGGGTACCTGACACTCCTGCCCAGCTCACATTTCAGGAAAACCGGACTTCAGTAGCTCTGAATATTTAACAGCATTAGGTAAAATCAAAAGGGCAGATTATCTCCTCTCTATCACAAACACAGAATAATTCTTTTTTGTATTCTGACACTTCATCCGATCTATATACACCAAGAAAGTAAAAGAGGTTTTGATTCCTAAAATAAAACAATTAGAATATAATGGGGAACAGACGCAGCTTCAGTTAGCTTCAGGGCTTGTTGCTTTTTCTGATCCTTATATTCAATTTTGTCTTCACTTCCAAAAAGGCTGAAAATTCACAGCTATGTTATCATCCAGTCTAAAAACTACACCTGCACGGTCCCATACTAGTCTTTAGTAAGATAAGTGTTCCTTTGTCTAGCTGCCTAGCACTCTGTAACTTCCAGCTCTAAAATCTCATGATGCCTACTCAACATGAAGGAAACGGTCAAGCAATGGGCTGTTCTTTTAACTACACCTGCAGCTGCGGAAGCCCGGACAAATGAATGAAGACAGCCACCCTCATTCATCTCTGCTGTTTAAAAAATACGAGCGCAGTGACCTGTCAAAGTCACCACGCTGGAGTTCCCAGGTCAGGGCGTTTACCGCAGGACTTTTCTCCACAGCCTCTGAAATTAGCAGGCAGAAATCGCGGGGATCCCTGACAAACGGATTGTATAACAACAACCTAAATAAATAACCAGGTGTGCGCCGGGTTAAGTAGGGGTTCCTCTCTGCGGAAAAAAAGTAACTCTTCCCAGTGGAGAAGAAACTTCTCGCCCAGGAAATTCGAGCCCAGAACCTAGGTTTTCAGGAAGGATTACCTCTTCACCAAGGACCCTTTTACAGGAAATGTCTTTGATGCCAGGAGCTCCGCTGGGGAAGCCGCTGGAAAGGCACCTGGACACCCACATACCTGGAGGGGATGCGGGGGCGCGCCGTAGGGACCGGGCCCGAAGATCCCTACCTTCGGACTCGCCTACCTTGGGGGGCGCCCAGGCGGCACGGGGTCCCGGTGCTGCTCCTCCCCTGGGTGATCGGGCCCTGGGGCCGGGGTCGGTTGCCAGGGTCCTGGGAGTGCAGCCGCCACCGCCCGCAGGTTTGGCTCCGCCCCGCGGGGCGCGCCCAGGGCAGAGTCCGGCGCCGGTGAGGCTCCGGGGAGGAGTCGCGACTGGACGCGCCCGCCCATCGCGGGAGAGCCAGGCTGTGACCCTCACACCCCTCGCTAGGGTGCTGTACAGGCGGGTTGGGGGAGGGGATCGGCTGCTGCTTTTCAAGAAGTTTCTATTTGCACCCTAAGTTTATAAACCTTTTTGTTTTTTAAATAATTTTTGATTTTATTGTTTTTAGTATAAATTTATGGCGTACAAGTGCATTTTTTTTTTTAAACTTTCTTTTGGAACTCAAAAAATGTTGCAAAGATAGTAGACAGAGTCCTCTATATACCCCTCAGTCGGTGTCTCCTAATGCCTACAGCTTCGACAACCATGGCACATTTGTCAAAACTAAGAAATTCACATTGGGCCCGGAACGGTGGCTCACGCCTTGTAATCTCAGCATTTTGAGAGGCCAAGGCAGGCAGGAGGATCGCTTGAGCTCAGAAGTTCGAGACCAGCCTGGGCAACACAGCGAGACCTCATTTCTACTAAAAATATTTTTAAAAAGAAATTAACATTGGTCTGCCACTATTAACACTACTCCAGACTTGATGTAGCTGTCACTAGCTTTTAGGCTAACCCCTTTCCCTTTCAGGATCCCGGCGGGGATACCATGCTGCATTTAACTTCCTGTGTCTTTTGTCTCCTCTAATTCATAATAGTTTCTCTGTCTTTTCTTGACTTCGACAGCTGTAAGGAATTCTAGTAAAGTATTGTGATAAAGTATTCTGGTAAGGTATAGTTTTGTGGGGGTACCTCGACACCCACTCATGTGGGTGTTGTCTACTGTTTTCTTCTCATGATGAGACTTGGGGGAGGAAAGCCTCAGAGATGAAGTGCCTTCCCCATCTCATCCTCTCAGGGACGATGGCACGATGGCCACGTGACTTATCACTGGTGACTTGACCTTGATCCCTTAGTTAAGGTTGTGTCTGCCAGGTTTCTCTACTGCAAAGTTATTTTTCTCTTTCCATACACTCTACTCTGAATGGCATGACTCAATTCAACCCACACTCAAGATGAGGGCAAGATTAAACTCCATCCCAGAGGAGAGAGTATCCGTATATTATTATTTAGAATTATTCTGTAAGGAAGATTTGTTCCATCTCTCTTGTTTATTCAATCATTTATTTCAGTATTTGTTATGTCAATATGGACCCATGTATATTTATTTTATATTTTTGGCTAGAATTCAATACTACATTATTAATTTTGTTGCTCAGATGGTTCCAGCTTTGACCACTGGGAACACTTTCAGGTTGGCTCCTGTGTCTCTCTGAAAGTTCATAAACTTTTAGGATTGTGGGGGGAAAAAAAAGGTGTATTTTCTCCACCCCCCCCCCCCCAACATTTAACAGATTGAGAAAACTGCAATCCAAATCCTTCAATATCCAAGGGCTTTTCAGAATCTTCCTGGGAATCCTACAATTACTGATTCCCACCACAATTAGAGAGAAAAGTTATTTATTTTCTTTTTACTAACAGATTAACTTGTAGATTGTGACCCAATTGGAGACGTGAAAGTTGATGGTTCTTAGGCAATTTTTTTTTGTTAACTAATCCTTGTGGTTCTATTAAATAGATGTATGTATATTTACAGACAAATCATGTTGCAAAGATAGCCATGGATGTTTATTATAAGTTTCAGCCTGAAGAAATCCAGCTGTTGAGGATCATTTGTTACATTGCCTTGGTTCGCTCATGTTTGCATTTGCAAGTTGGTTCCATAAACACTATATTTCCTCCTTCTGAGCTTGGCTTTTGCTCAGCATTTGACACCGCCTGCTTTCTGAGACCTGTCCACCTCTCTTCCTGGCCTTGACCCTTCCTGGAGAAGGAAATCTACTTCTCCATTAGCTTGGGTTGAGCTGGGTAAACACAGGATGCAGTGGAGTACCAGTGAGGCCTCCAGAACTGCAGAGCTAAGTCATTTTCTATCTTTCAACTATTTTTAACAAAGATGGCAACAAAAGTAAAAGTTAAAGGAAAACATTTCATACCTAGGTCTCACCATATCTGCTATGGACTGAATGGTTTGGGTTCCCCCATAAAAGTTCATATAATGGAATCCTAATCCCCAATGTGGTGGTGAAAGTGGGCTCTTCGGGAAGTAATTAGGTCATGAAGGTAGAGCACTCATGAATGGGCTTTAGTGCCCTTCTAAGAAGAGACAAAAGGCTGGGAATGGTGACTCATGCCTGCAGTTCCACCTCTTTGGGAGGCCAAGGCAGGTGGATCGCTTGAGTCCAGGAGTTTGAGACCAGCCTGGGCAGTATGGCAAAACCTCCTCTCTACAAAATGTACAAAAATTAGCTGAGCATGGTGGCACACTCCTGTAGTCCCAGCTACTCAGGAGGCTGAGGTGAAAGGATCACTTCAGCCTAAGAGGTAGAGGCTACAGTGAGCTGAGAGTGTACCACTGAACTCCAGCCTGGGCAACAGAGTGAGACTCTGTCTCAAATGAAGAGACGGGGAGAGAGAGAGACGAGATCTCTGTCATGTGAGAACACAGCAAGAAAGCAGCTATCTGCAAACCAGGAAGCAGGCCCCCACAGACACCACATCTCCGAGTGCCTTGATCTTGGACTGCCCAACCTCCAGAACTGTGAGAAATAAATAACTGGTTTAAGCCAGTTTAACACCAGTCTATGTTATTTTGTTACAGCCCCTGGAACTAAGACAGTATCCCAGAAGAAATCGACAAGGTCAGAGATGAAGTTGAGATTCTTGTGTACATTTCTGCGGGGAGAGGGGAGGCTTTAAGTGAAAGTGGTCATTCTAATTAGAATGAAATCATAATTTTATTTCATCGTTCTGCAAATAGACTATTCCCTCGGTAACTATAATAAATCTTTTGTGGAGGGAAGCAGAGAAAACTCAGAATTCATGAGAGTGTGGAGTCACAATATATTGGCAACCTCCAGAGGGAAGCTCAGGAGAATCTATAAACTATTTATTACCTTAAAACTCCAGTGGTGTTTCTCAGAGGTTGGATATTGAGGGGTTAGGGATGAGGTGGGGATTGATGTTTATGGATTTCTCTTACAGCTGTTGCTTTGATTATTATTTTTATGACAGCATATGTACAAACCATTTAAAATTTTTCTAGAGCTGTATTTCTTCTCACTTTTAAGATTATCCACATTAAGGAAAAGTATTACCATTACATAATGTTTGGAGTGGCTTTGGTTGGGTCTGATAGAGATTAGGTGGGGACTAAAGCATCCCCAAACCACCCAGGGTGCCCTCATTGAATAAATCCCTCTCCTACTCACTCCACTAAAAAGAGGAGGGATTGAGGGTGCAGAAGAATGCAGCAGATGCAGTTTCCCCTCCTGAAGAACACTACAAATTGTCACCCACGTTGAAAGAGAGTCTAACTGTAAATCTAACACCCTGCCTTGTGATATTGAGAGCCTGTGGCTTGTGGCATTTGGACCCAGGTTCATATTTGAAATCACTGTTGTTTACTTCTGTTCAGGGATTATTTGCTGAAAGGGAAAGTTTTGTGTATATGTGTGTGTGTGTGTATTTAGTGCAACTTTATTTTATTTAAAATTTGCATTTAAAATGTATTAAAATTATTTTATTTTAATATTATTTTAAATTTGCATTTAAAATATATGTGTGTGTCTATACACACACACATATTTAGTGTAATTTTAAATGCAAATTTTACTGTCATTCCGTCCTCTAACACATGCACATACACACACACACATACACACACACAAACACAAACACACACCATTCTTTAAAACATTTCATTGCCTCCCCATGAGCTCTTATTGAAAACCTAAACCCTTCCCCAGGGAGAGAATTTGCTCTGCTCTCCCCCGTCCACCTCTCCTGCTTCATCTCTTGCCACATTGTTTTTCAACAAGGCTGGATGATTTGTGGTGTTCCAAACCAACTCTTGTTTCTTACCTTATTCCTTTTGTTGCTCTTGTCTCACCCCCACCCTGACTCCATAGACCAGAGTGTTCTTTCTCCTCCTCTTTGACCTGGAAACTCCTTTTCCATTTATTTCCTATGTATAGGGAAACCTTCCCTGAGCTCCCCAGTTTATGTTGGGTGTCCCACTTAGGTCTTCCCATAAAGTGCTTGATGCACTGCATTTGCTTTTCTATAAGTTTTCTGTAGGAACTGTAACAAATAACTACACTTGGCTGCTTACGACAATGCATATTTTTTGTTATAAAGTTCTGTAGGTCAGAAATATGTCATGGTACCAGGGTAAAATCAACTGTTCCTTACTGGAACCTCTTGGGGAGAATTTATTCCCTTGCATTTTCCAGCCTTTTGTAGAGGCTGTCTGCATTTCTCCACTCATGGCCCCTTTCTACACCTTCAAAACCAGCAGCACACTTCCCCCGACTCTGTCCCACTTTCACTTGTAAGGACCTTTGTGATGACATTAAGACCAACTAGATGACCCAAGATAATCTCCCTATCTCAACATCCTCAACTTCATCACATCTGCAAAGTCTCTTCGCCACATAAGATAACATATTCACAGGGACTGAGGATTAGGACATGGACTTCTTTGCAGGAGGGCATTATTCTGCCTACCATACTTTTGTCCCCAGAGGTCAGGTCATAATTCAAACATTAATTAGGTTTTGTTATGAAATATTTCGTTTTTTAAGGCACAAAATCAAGAAGGCTTTGCAAAATTATAAAGGAGGCATGCTCCCATCACTTTTTTGGTCATGCCTCTGCCTGCCTTTCCCTCCTGTCCTCTCACATTCCTGTGATGCCTCCATAATGCCACCCTAAGGAGTTCCTGGTATTGGATAATTTTCCAACTTCTTCCTCCTGTCCCATACCTACACTTTCTGCGACTTGTGGGAAGGAAAAGGGAATGCAAATGTGGAAGTTACAGCATCGAAATTTAACTTTATGAGCCCCACAAATCTTGCATTTTGAGCTCCGAGCTCACAATGGAGCTGATTGCTAGGAAAAACACCCTATACAAAACTCCATCTATTCTACACAC